TCATCAGCGTAGCTGTGGATTGGGTTGATCGTGCAGGAATGGGGGTCGTTGATATGTAAGAGAAACAGTGTTGGAGCCAAAACCAATCCCTGGGGAACACCCGCATTGACGTTGTGGGATGAAGAGGAGAACCCGTCAATTACGACGGATATCTTGCGGCCAGAGGTCCCCTGTGGATCGTTGGTACCGGAAACCATACTGCCTGTCGCTAATCATGCTGTGACTTTCGAGGTAGTCGAGAAGCTAGCGATTTATGTACCTCTCCATCACCTTACTTATAACAGAAACCAGAACTACGGGCCTGTAGTTGTAAGGGTCGGTCTTAGGTCCTTTTTTTTGGATGGGTTGGACATGAGCAAATTTCCAGTTTTCTGGGAAGGTTCCGGATTCATAAAAAATGTGGAAGAGACGCGACAGAACTGGAGCAAGCTCCGCTGCACACCTCTTCAGTACAATGGCAGGAATCAAGTCCGGACCAGAGGCTTTGTTGATGTCGAGCGACAAGAGCACTCGTCTGACGGTCTTATGCCTGAATGTTACCTCCCGCATAGTGTAGGGAACCCTTTGAATTGACGGTACTTGAGCGTTGGGGGGGATGTCTTTGGTGGAGTTGGCAGCAAAGATCTTGGCCTTGGCCTTTGAGTCGAATACAATAGTTCCATGCTGACACGTAAGTGGTGGAAAGCTACTGTGTGAGAAGTTCTTTTTAATCTGCTTGGACAGCGTGCAGAAAGACCGACTGCCATTGCGCTGCGATATTACCCTGTGCCTAGCTCTTATGCCAGCCGTTGGACCCTAGTTTAGGCACTTTCGAGACGATTGGATTGCAGGTAGTGATGCACAGCATCAATGTTGCTGTTAATCTCGCAGATGTTCAAAAAACAAATGTTATCTTCGATGTTGTTCCCTCGAGCCCACCCTCTACCCGGACATTCCGAGAGTGGAGTGAGTTTACGTACGGAGTTCTTAGTGCTCGAGGGATCATCATTAATTTCTTTGTTTTGGAAGATGACCGACAGCATATCTTAGGTATGGAAACATGCGGACATTTATAAGACACTCTGGGAAAAGCTAGCGGGTGATGGTACCGCCTCGGTCAACTGGTCCTTGTCTACCACCTTCTTTTTACGTGTTAGTGATATTAAATAGACCTAAAGTGGCCCGTTGGTGGACTTGTACCGCCACCCGGCAATCGGTACTGAGGTATTCCTTAACGCGTGTACAATCACTTGAACGGGAAGAAGCTGTATACTGGATACAACTACTTCCGGTATAAGCATTTGCCACGGCCCCGCTCAGTAGGGGTGTCTCTACTAAACTACTGTTCTCTTACGATGCATTTGATAGATAGGTGCTACATTCAGGAATTTTACAATTATTTTTGTCCGATAAGCATTCAGGTCATTCACGTAATTTGAAAGTTGAAGAAAAAATAAGGAATCAAAACTAAAATCAATAAAATTCTAAACGTAACTTCATGCAAGCATCCCTGTAATCACCCAGATGGATCTAAAGTGTGCATCTATAAGATGTATCGCATTGTAAATTGTATTCAAATGCACCAGGTTACTTATTTGGTTCATATGTAAATCACATACACGGTCGGTTTGGAGATAAAGAATTTCAGATAGAAGCATTCATGCATTGTTAGAGAAAACTATTAATATTTTTTCCTTCGGGTTGTGGGGTATGCACGCTGCTCTCTGAACGGGAAATTGCGCAACCTTTTTGGAGAGCGGTACCAATTCGCTGTGCAATAAATCTAGCTGTATCGTGTGTGTATCTTCGATTTAGGAAGCATAAAGAGGAAAATTAGGTTACTTATACATTCAAGCTACACTAAGTAGTGCTCTTGGATCATGGATCGTGTAACTTTTTTGCTTTGTAATGTTAAGCGTTATTTACTTTACTTTTTTATAAATTATTATTTAAAAAAAATAATTTTCAGAAACCTCACTTGAAAGGCAGGTGAGAAAGCATGATCCCTAAAATTATTAATCGTCAAAGATTTTATTCTTATGCAATGATGCAGAGTATGCTTAAAACTCATACATACTTATTGATTTATTAATGACAAAAGATTAATTTTTCCTTATGTTAATTTTCCCCATTGTACTTTTCAAACTTCAAAAGAGATTTCAAACCAAAGTGGATAGTAGATTGAAGCAACTGATAGGAGTACGATTTACACGACTTAAGCCAAAAGCTGTCTATCCAATAAAATTGCAATCAGAAATGTAAACTAATGAATTTCATGTCAAATAAGAAGCTACAATCTAGATATTTAAAGAAATGTGTATATACAGTGTTTTTCTTTAACGTCCACCTCCCCCTTGACTTTTTGAACGGATCAATTCAAAAAATTAAAACTTGAGGTAATGAAATTGCCGCGTGGATACCATATTTTAGAGTAAACTTGACAGATGAAAATGTCAAGATGATCGCTAGGCGCCATCTTGGAAAAAAAATATATGAAAACGGGGGCCTTGTGGCACATCATTTTGAGTACTATATAACCCTAGAATATGAAGTCAATACCTTTACCTACTACAAAATGGTGGTACATTTAATAATTACTTGAACATACTAACATGCATATCTTTACAAATAACTGGAATTCCTTGCCGTATCCATAGCAACAGCGATAAAAACTTGTTCTGTTGCTTTTTTGTTGACAGTACGAACACAAACATCATTGAGAGTCAAAATATTCTTATTTAGTTTTCGGTTTTAGAGCTAGATACTGTTTGAACTATTTTTAAAATGGTCAATTCTCGTCCATTGGAAGAAAAAATCGAAGCAAAAATATTTAAGGGAACTTGTATGTAAATTTACAGCTACTGGTAGTGTAAACAACAAAAAGGCCCTAGGTCATTCGATCATCCCGGAAGAGAAGTAAGTTCAAATAATTGGTGGGATCATAGTAAATCCCCAACAGTCTACTTCCTCCATCGCGAATGTATGTGAGGTTTGTCCTTCTACTGTATGGAAATTTTTGAAAAATAATAAATATCACCTATACAAAATTCAAATGGTACATCAGCTAACTGAAGTTGACCCTGATCGAAGAACAGAATTCTACGAGACTATGACAGTAACCATTGCACGGCATCCTACCTATATCCAAAATATTTGTTTTAGTGATGAATGCACTTTTTTCTCAACGGTAATGTGCATAGACAAAATTGTCGCTTTGGAGTGACACCAATCCTCACGTCTTCCGGGAAATGCATACTCAATATCCACAACAAATTAACGTTTGGGCTGGGATATTGGAAAAGCAGATTGTGGGGCCTCTATTCATCGAACAAACTTTAACCGGGAACTGTATTTGGATATGCTGGAAAATACTATTGACCCTCTAATCACCGAAATTGTCGAAGCGAATCCTAATGAATTCGATACTAATATTGAATTCCAGCAAGATGGTGCTCCATCACACTACTACAGATAAGTTAGGAATTATTTAGATAACAATTTCCCGGTCTTTCGATTGGCCGTCGAGGTCCTGTGGAATGGCCAGCTCGCTCGCCAGATTTGATACCTTTAGACTTTTTTATGGAGCTATTTGAAGCAAAAGGTGTACGAAACTGAACCTGCTTCAATATTGGATATACGGCTGAGAATAACAAATATTTGTGGAAATATCGATGTTACTATGTTTGAAAATGTTCGACGCGAAATTACGGACCGGCTGTTATTGTGTCAAGAAGTGCAAGGCAACCACTTCCAGCATCTTCTAAACTGAACTCGACGTATTTATTCGAATTATCAAGTTGAATGTCAATATATTCAGGTAATTATTAAATGTACCACCATTTTTTAGTAGGTAAAGGTATTGACATTATATTCTAGGATTATAAAGTACTCGTCAGGAGCTTCAAAGTGATGTGCCACAAGACCCCCATTTTCATTTTTTTTTCCAAGATGGCGCCAAGCGTCAATTTTACTCTAAAATATGGTATCCACGCATCAATTTCATTACCTCAAGTTTTAATTTGTTGAATTGATCCGTTCAAAAAATCAACGGAGAGGGGGACATTAAAGAAAAGCACTGTATATGTGGCAAATATATTGAAACAACAATTATCTCAATCTACAGTTCTGTATCCGCTTGCTGCGTTGCTACATCTTCCCTGCGTTTTATATTCGCTGAAAGATGGACTCGGAAACGGAAACTCCAGTAGACTGGTCATGTAATGAGGGGTGAACGCTTCTTAGCATAAAGAGCAAGATATTTGCTGAAAGATCAGTAAGAAGACCGTGGAACTCATGGGCAAAAGATCTGGTACGGATACACGTCAGTTAAGGTGTACCGAGCTGCTGCTTCTCGGCAAGTTGTATCGCCAACCTTCGATGGGGAGTCGTAAGAAGACGAACAATGAAAATTGCATCACTGTGAAAAAACTTCCTCCAAAATCAAACACATCACGTGTGCAAGCAAGTAAAACATTATGTCGCGAGGTGTTCCACCTTCGATAAGGAGACGTTGCAAGAAGAACAATAATGAAAACTGCAGCATTGTGGAAAAACCTTTTCCAGTAACAAAGAACGTACACGTGGGCAAGCAAGTAATATATCTATTATGACAAGTGGTGCACACACGCTCTACTATGGCGTGGTAAATACATAAGCTACTATTTTCACATAGCATAAATGACGTTTTTAGGGAATGCAGAGCCAGTGGGGCCACGATCTCACTCCGGGAGAGGAGTCCAGTTTCAGCCACTGTTCTCTAGTGAATTGAGGAAAATATCAATCACACACAGGTCGCAAGGTGTTTATAGTTAAAATCATTTTGATACTCGAATGGCTGCAATGGCAATGAGTAAAACCGAGGTAGGTACTGCTGCTGCTATAAATAAATTGACATCTTCTGGATACAGCTTTTTGGATGCCTAAGGTCGGTAACTTTGTAAAAAGTGGAGTGCTCCAATTCAGTTGTACCCTAGAAATAGAAAAGATATGAAACTACGGGTTTCTTGATGCCCAGAGCTCGACTAAATTAGAGTGTGAAACAGAATCCTGCTGAAGAACTCTGCGTATCTATCGGTCGATGAGACCCAGATCACCAAAAGCTTGTTCCTGGTAGAAAGTCTTAAATCTGGAGCCCACTCTGAGCTGAAGGTCGCTTGAGCCTCATAGTGCACACAGGAGCTGAAAGCCTGCGACTGAAGGGGAGGTAAGCAGTTTATCTCTCCTGTAAGAAAGGTTGTCAATTCTCATTTTTATTTCACATTCTCGTTCACCGTACACATTTCATGCTGATTCTATCAAGTGCTTCTAATAGCTTTAATTTTTCCGATTTATGATTATTGGCTGTCTGCAAATGAAGTCGGTGTATATATCAAAGTTAATGCCGATTTGAAGCCGATAAAAGAGCCATGTAATAAAGCTATAAAATTTTACTGACTGTAACTTATATACCTTTGCCAGTATTTTGAAGATCTTATTTACGATTAAGGTCAATTGGTTCTTTTCGATTGGCACGATCGCGCGCTAAGAAAATAATGAATGGTTGAGTGTAGACGCGAAAAGTGTAACAGAAAGTTCTATATAAGCTCTATACACTAGAGTAATTTAAAGATCTGATTTCTAGCATGACCGTTAAAAAATCATGAAGTGTTACGAAGCTCTTTGGATGAAGAGTGGACGTTCCGGAGCGTCCTTGATATGTACATATCCGATTTACCCAAAGAATGAATTTTCGTCTAAATTGTAAAGAGTAATAAAACCAGCAATCCTTTTTCCTCAGGCTTTCTAGTTTCATAGTGCAAAATATCGATTTTACCCTACAACTCAGCAGAACTTGATACTCTGATGAAATATGGGAGAGGAATATCCGCACCAAAAAATGTTTAAGTGCTGGTAAATCCTACTTGTAGTAGTAAAATGGAACTTTTGAGGAATCCTGTCAATCTCAATGAAAACTGGCATCATTTTCGTGATCTACAAATCCAAAAACAAGCCCATACAATCAGTTCACAGACGTTAATCCTCTACCCTACCGGTAGTACCGTCCATCTGGTAACGCCTTTCACTGATACCTGCCCACATGACGCCTAACACGGCAGCTCGGCACAGTGGCAGTAATGTCAGGGCACCTATGAAGACCAGCACGCACACCGACGAACCCAGAGAGCTGAATCAAGGATAGGTGTCGAAAAGCTTCCTCTATCATCCTAAGTTTTTGGGGTCAAGTGTACGGGGAAATCTACGATGTGTGTGATATGTCTAAAAGGTTCGTAGAACTGCCGATGCTAAATACACTATGATCAAAAAAGTTAGATCTATTCTCCCCCACCCCTTACAGCTAGAAACCTCCTATTTTTAACCCCTACAAGAATGCTATTCAAAATTATCAGGCGCCTCTGAAACGTCAAAAGATTCCTTTTTTCCGTTTTGCTGTGATAACTGCGCCTTGACCTTTAGTTGACGAGAAGTGTTGCACAATTTGTTGGACCCTGGCTTAGGTATTTTCATTATAAAAGGCAATGTAATCCTCCATCCCAACATGTATGATTTCGGTTACTGATGAACAGAGCTTTCTGTCAACATCAGCACGAAACTAACATCAGCTTCGTAATCTACCTACCCCATTGACCCAAGATGGGAACTTACTTTTAATGAAGCATCTAAACGAGGAAAATTTTATTAGGGATATTTGGGTATATCACTTTGTATAGCCCAGCAATCATGATCAGATTACAACTTATGGCTCGTCTATATTAGATGTATCTCGGCTATACCTTGGAAGTGTTGCCTCGAATATGTAGACACGTACACCTGTCAGAATTTCTAATCAGAAAAGCATCAAAGTCAGGAAAGAATTATGCGCGTCGCGGTAGCTTACATTACTAACATTACATTTTAAGTAGAATTCCGCTAGTTCGACAATATACGAAAATCGATCATAAAATTCGAAGATGTGTAACAATTTAGTCAGGCCATACTAAAAATATCGCCGTATATTTCTGGATATTCTACTGCAGCTAGAATTTTAGAAAGTATTTCTTCAATATTATCCCTTCAAATGTAGACTATTAGCTGTACGAGGCTTATCATGTTTTTGCATATACAAAATTTATTTGTTTCACTATCCAACAGGAGCAATTCTTAACACTATCAGCTACAACGAGGAACAATGTACTGAGATGACAGTATTACATGACAAATACATTAACAGGATAGTATTTAGGATTATTCACATTAGGAATACGAAATGCTCTCAATGCTTATTTGTAGTTATACAGGGTGGGCCAACGAAAAGGGCGCACCCGCATTTGTGGTCCTCCTGGTTTATTTTGGGAAAGACGCTAGGACACGTCAATTTTGATTTCTATGATGTCCTTCCATGTATAGCCGTACAATACTGGGTGATCCAAAAATAAGATAATGCGTTACACTTCGGATTTCTAAATAGAAACCCCCATTTTTTAAATTTTTAGTTTTTCCATGAAGTTTTTAGTAACTTTTATATTAAACTCTGTACCTATCTTCAATCGTAGTTTGTGTAAGTTTAAAATAAAATACTTGCGATGTACAAGTGTCCTAGTAGTGTGACGACTCAAACCTAAACCATACCATTCAAATTTTATTCATGCCAAGTCGTAAAAACACCAGCTTTGCGTGTTTATTGGCCAGCGTGCTTACAAATAAAACAGACGGGCGGACGCACGAGAATTTAGCGATTGTTTACTTCAACATGTCATTTAAGTGAGGTTTGACTAGTCTTCAGTGCATGTTATGTACTCTACACTGTTGTCTTGGTGTAAAAATTCACATTTCATCCACCTCTACCCAGAGCTGAAGACTTGCTAACACACCTGGACAAGTTGGCAGTGAAGAGCAAAATTTTGGATATTGCTATTATACATATATCTTTGCTAATATGGGCACTGTATAAAATCTGTTTCAGAATAAGTTGAGGTTCTTAATTGTCTTGGTAATTAGGACTGTATATGTTACCATCGATGTCAGAAAGATTTGTCTTTACTAAGAATACTCTATAACAAGCTGTGCATGTTATTGCAATACTGGTTGCATATACGAGGGATGTCTTTTAAGTTTTGCATATAGAAACATAGGCCGCGCGGATCGAACGTCAGTACTGAATCTTAACCTCACTCTTTAGTAAACTTAAATTAAAAGTTTCACAACAATACGTGCAGTATTCTCACTACAGTGAATTTCTAAGTGTCACCAAGTCATTAGAAAAATGGAACTCAACCGACAACATTTTCGCGCCATAACTTTCAGAGACAATTATCGCAAGATGAATGCGTTGCTGACTTAGTGTCTGTTTTCGGCAACGAAGCGCCACATCAGTCGACAATTTCCCGTTGCTATGGAGAATTCAAACGTGGAGGTGCGGGTCTTAGCGACGATCCCAGGGTGGGTGCACTAAAAACGGCAGTCACCCAGGAAAACGTCGATGCTGTGCGCAAACTCATCATTGAAGATAGATATGTGACATATCGCGAGATTGAGGCGTCCTTGAAGATCTCAAAGACCTCAACTCAAAAAATGTTACATGAAGAATTAGGAGTAAGAAAATTAGTTTCTCGTGGGATACCCCACCTGTTGACTGAAGAGCAGAAAGCAGCCAGGGTTAATCGGTGTCAAAAAACGCTTGACCGTTTCAATTCCGGAAACTCAAAAAATGTGTACAGCATTATTAGTGGTGATGAATCGTGGATTTACAGTTACGAACCAGAAAATAAACGACAGTCGGCTGTTTGGGTGTTCCAAGGTGAAGAAAAGCCAACAAAAGTCATCCGTTCTCGAAGTGTTTCGAAAAAGATGGTCGCTACATTTGTGTCAAAATCAGGCCATATTGCAAGAATTCCTCTTAATGAGCAAAGAACTGCTACTGCGGATTGGTACACGACCATTTGTTTGCCAAAAGTCATCACCGAGCTTCGAAAAATCAACCCTGACAGAAGAATCATCCTTCAACAAGACAATGCAAGCTCGCACACAGCCCAACAAACAAGGCAGTATTTAACGGAAGAAAACGTGGAATTATTAGACCCATATAGTCCCGATCTAAGTAATAAGGATTTCTTTACTTTCCCGAAAATTAAAAACTGACTGCGTGGTCAAAGGTTCCAGTCACCAGAAGAAGCAGTTGACGCATTCAAAAATGCCGTTTTGGATCTGCCAGCAAACGCGTGGAATAAGTGCTTCGAAAATTGGTTCGAGCGCATGCAGATGTGTATTAATCTTCACCATACTGTTGTTCAATATTTAGCATAAAAAACAAACCGTCCAAGAGTGTTCATCAAAATGCCTAAATAGCCTGTGATGACAGCTATTACAGACTAGAGATCAAAATCTGAAATTCTCAACTGAACGTTCATCGAGGCACATATACAGTTTGTTTAATATCAATAGAGGGATTATTCCCCAAACGGTATTCAACCATCAAGTAATGTTTATAAATATAACCCTTGATCCCTCTCATTCTTGAGTCCTTAATTCGTCCCTGCTCAAACATACCCACAAATAAGCAATCTCTGCATACGTTTTTCCTCCGCCCTTCAACTTGAAAACATGTCCTTTAGGTGTATGAATCATTATCCTTAAACCAGTAGCCGCGATTATAATGTGTCTTTGGGATAAGACACTTCCATTAATTATTTTTTCAGAATGTATATTTATTCAAAGCATTATTCGGAATCCTTCATTTACATAATGTGATGAGCAGTGGCGTTCTGATTAGACTGAAATCCGGACAGATGATTGATTTTAAAAATAATATTGATAAAACTTACAAAGGCATGTTGAAATGGCAAAAATAATAAGAATCATTGAATGAAACTTGGAGCACATGTGATTTGCTAGACGCTCTAGTATTTAACTCACAAAGACCCGAAAGGGTTCGCGAAAGGTAAAAACTGCTCCCACCCCTACATAAATTGTAGCAGATTTTTTTCGCAAATCTCCCAACGACTCGGAATTGTTTTATTTGAAAAATCCTTTTATTTACCTCATTTTTGTCTATAAAATCAGGCCTCTCGCATAGTGTTCGAGAAAAAAATGTTTTTCGGAGATGGTTTCTAAGAAGTTTTCGTGTTACATCATGTGTTCAAATCTAATAGGCATCTAGTGGGCGAAAATGTGAGATGTTATGTCAGTGTCAGATTATTTTTGACAACAAGCTTCATAAAGTTTAAATTAATATGCAAAATTTGAGTT